TTGTTTGGCGCATGAACAGGTGAGTCTCGGTGACACTTCTTGTGTCGGACCAACAGTTCGGGCGACGAAAATCTCGGACCTGGCTCTAGTCATGGCTCGGTGCATGGCGCTAGCAGTCAAGTCGGTACGCAGAAGGTACTCCATTGTGTTGGCGAGGATCGGTGTGGCGTCGGACGTGGGTACGACAGAGCGTCGGTCGGTGTATCGTGGGGTCATCGTCCTGGTTTCCGGGCCCGCGTTCAGGGGCTCTGTGGATGTCAGTTCAAGTTTGGGCCCCGTCCAGCTTTCGGTTAGCGTGGCTGTTTCCCGTATTGCTGGGCTGTCGGATGGTGGGTGCCGTTGTCCTTGTTCGATGCTGGTGGTCGGCTTTGAGGGTGTCGGTGTGTTCAATTCTTCCGTTGCGGATTCTGTTGCTTGTCTTGGACCTGGACTTCCTGTGTCGAGCGCCGGGTTCAAGTGTGTAAGGACGTTCTATGTTAGTCGTAGAAAAAAGCTTGGTGTGATTTTTATGCACAACCTGATCAAGGGTGACGTAGATAGCCCTGACTTGTTGAGCCGCATAAACTTTACGATTCCTATTAGATCTACTAGAAACTTCATTCCTTTGTTCCTTCCGCTTTGTAGATCGAATTATTCCCTTGCACGAACCATTAAGGGTCCTTTGCTCGGACTTCAATTCCCTCTACCACATAATATCCACTACTAATTCCCTTCCTCTTCTTAAATCACTAATACTAACATACTTTTCCCGTAATTAGTTCTATTTCTTAGCTATCTTTGCATGTTTAGCTCTTTGAGTTGTGTTTAGCTCTAATTTTCCTCGAATTTTAGTCTAACCCCTATCTTTCCTGCGTGCTCGCGATCGGTTCGGTAACACGCGTCGCGCGTCATGCGGCAGCGCCCCTTGGTCGGTTGGGCGGGGTTTCTGCCTGGGTTCCGCGCGTAACAGGCTTCGGCTTGGTGTAGCATTGGCCACTTGATGGTGCAGTCATTGCATATCAACGTCCAGAGAGGCTGGGATAGGCGTCAGTCTGTCCAGGGTCCTGAATTACAAGTTATTTATAATTCGCAAGACTATATTTGGAAAAACCAGAAACTCGGCCAGCAACTGAAATAGAATGGTTAGCGGAATCACAACACTTTTTTGTTTCTTTGAAGTTTTAATTGGTTTCTTTATTATTTCGTGTTCTTATGTTACTCGGTGGGGGTTTGACGGATTGTCCGCGACGTGTATGTTCTCCCGATCGACTGCCGATTGACTATGGCTGATGGACTGCCTATCGACTTGAAAACGAACGCGAAAATTAACTGCCGATTGGCGAACTCCAAGTGAACTCCTAGCAAACTGCAAACGAACTCCCTTAGTACAGGGAGAATTCAGATATATATAGCGTTTTCCTATTCTTAATAGCATGGGACGAAGCATGGGTTCCAATTTTGTTTCGTATTCGTTGCGATTTGTTTGGGTGTAAAGTGCTGCGTTGGGTTATTGGGTGCCGTGTGCGTTGTGGTAGGTCGTGGACGTGGGTTCGTTGCGATTTGTTGGGGTTTCTGGAATCGGGATTCGGCGTCTTGTACGTGGATGGTAGTAAGCACGGGTTCAGTGGGCATAGGGCGTTCCCGGCTGATCCCGTGTCAGTTGGGGACGCATGTCGTTTCCCGACGTGTTTTGGCGGCAGCAATTGACGGTCCGTGTGCCGCGTTTATCACATTCCCAGCAGAATAGGATCGAAGGCTTATGGCAGTCGTATGCCGCATGCCCCGCTTCACCACACTGGCGACAGGCTGCGCGTGGGTTTATGATGGGGGTCGTGATCATGCGATGTGCTACATCGGGATTCGCCGCACTGTATGGATCCGGCGCATCCGGCGTGGTGCATGAGTAGCCGTATCTCGATGAGGTAATCCTTGAACAATTCACCTACCGCTTGCTTGCGGGCCCGGATCTGGTCTTCCAATTGTTCAAAATACCGTGGCGGCAAGAAGAACGTCAAGAATTCTTGGCGAAAATAGGCCCATAAGATGCCTTGCAGTTTTCTGGTGCGGTACCAGTGCCTGGCCCGATCGTTGAGAAGTACTGTCATGGCCCGAGGCAGCTGATTTGTGCCTACTCCATACCACAGCGCACGTTCTTCAAGTAGTTCCAGAAATGCGAGTGGGTCGTCCTGTCCGTCGAACCTGATTCCCCATTTCCGAATCTGTGTGGTGTCGTCCACCTATGGAAGGGTCCATGGCTGGCACGATCCTCTGTGTGGGCGAGCGGCTGGTCTCCGTAACTGGAGGTCTGGGCAAATAGGCTGGCGTTACGATGCGTGGTGGGCCAGGTGTGCTGTATGCGGCCACGATGGGGACTTGTAACCCGGCTTTTGGGTCGGTTTTCCGCTGGTCAGATGGCCCAGGAGTGGTGGGCATGCGGTGGTTGGTGGTGGTTGGCGTATTGCCGTTCAAGGTCTCCCAGTGGAACCCAGGCGTACTGCGAGAGTGTTCCGGCGACTAATGCGGCGAATCTCTTTCGTCGTTCCTTCGTTGCCAAATCTGAATTCCTCGGCAAGGACTTCCAGCTCGTCCCGACGGAGTTTGTAGATCCAGCTGGTATGGTGTCCCTTATAGCATATTCCCACAGGCCACCATCCACCATCCATTTCGGGGATGGTCCGTAAAGTTTTGCCGTTCCGAAAATTTCCCAGTTATTCCACCATCCATCTGGGATGGGATCTGGGCTAAGCAACGGATACAAAAGGGACGGCTGTACTTCGCGCAGATGCCGCAGATGAAGGTATCGACGGAAGGATTTGCCAACAAGGTGGAGGAGAGTCTCGCCACCAAAACGCAACGCTCGACCGAGAGTGCCATCAAGGACACTCCGGTGAGCAAGCGGCAACGCGGGCCCAAGGTGGCAGGCCCCACACCCAAACAGGCGAAGAGACCCCAAAAAGCGAAGGTCAGTGAGGTGACCAATCGACACCTAACAAAGGCAAAGGTACTCTTCCCCATCGTAATCCAAGGGGACCGTGCGCTGAGGCTGCTACAGCGGCAGAACCCTGATGTGCCAACGGCGAAATGGAGGATTTTGCATATCGGGAGCCCACTACCCAATGAGGGGGTCAGAGTGCGATCATCCAGATCAGCAAGGAGGCAGAGGACCTGCTGTACGCAAGATTCGGGAAGATGGCGTGGGGGATGGGCAGTGTGTACCTGCGGGTGAAAAAGCGCCACCCCGAGGATAAAGATGCGCACACTCTGCAGGCGGGCGAGGTGGAGGAGGACCTTGGTCTGGACACCATCGTGGAGGCTGCACAGGGTCTTGGGCAGGACTCGGAGGAGGAGGAGGAGGACGGTGACCTGACGGTAGTACTCAACCCGTCCAGTGGAGCTGAGCCAGACGCACATGGTGAGTGTGCTGCAGCTCAACCTTCACAAAAGTAAGATAGCGTCGGCGAAGCTCCTCTTTGCCATGGAGCAAGGGCCAGCCGACATAGCCTTAGTCCAGGAGCCATGGGTTTCATCAGGCACTGCTGGGGCCGGACTAAAGTCCTCAAATTTTAACGTTTTCTATCCACCATCGGTAAGCAGGAACAGAACCGCCGTACTCGTACGAAAGGGAATCCATGCTCGCCTCATGTCTCATTACAGCACTGACGATCTGACCGTGGTGATGCTAGAAAGCAAGGCAAAGCGCCTGATGGTAGCCTCCTGCTACATGGCTCACGACAGGCCAGCTCCACCTGAAGAGTTGAGGCATCTAGTGGCGGAAGCTAGCCCGAAAGACCAGCAACTTCTCGTCGGTACGGACGCAAACGCACATCACAACGTGTGGGGAAACCCCGACATCAACGATAGAGGTGAGTCACTCCTAGACTTCATACTATCAACTAACCTAGAAGTAGCAAACGTTGTAGGTCCCACCTCTTCAAACGTGATAGATTTAACACTCGTAGCAGGAACAAGTACTTTGGTATCTGGCTGGAGAGTCCTTGAAAAAAAATTCTTCTCAGAGGTTATTCAGTTTAAGTGCGAATTTAAACACTCTCCGAAGATAACTGTCTACAACGCTACAACGCATCAGGACCTAGCAACAGAGGTACAGCTCCGCCAACGGGTCTCATATCGTCTATGAGAATCCACTGGGCTATAGACTCCTTTGTGGGTACGAAAACGGAAAAAGTAGGACTCAATATCAACGCGGACAAGACGGACCTCATCCTTTTTACCAAGAGATACAAGGTAACGGCATGGATCCCCCCGAAAATTGAAAAAAACAGGCTGACCCCGAACACACAAGTCAAATACCTCGGCATAGTACTGGTCAGCAAGCTGGCATGGAGGCCCAATGTAGTGGAAAGGGTGAAGAAGGCCACCATTGCGCTATATGCATCCAAGAAGATGCTCAGCAGTACATGGGGCCTGTCACCTGCTCTAATGAACTGGATCTACATCTCGGTGGTGCGACCGACTCTGCTGTATGGGGTCTTAGTGTGGTGGCAGGCTACAAAAAAGAAAACCTACAACAAGCTAATGGATAGAACTCAGCGGCAGGCACTGCTCTGCATCACTGGGGCGCTGAGGTCAACCCCAACAAAATTACTCGAAACCATAATCGGAATTTGACCCCCTGGACATCCACGCTCAACTGACTGCAGGTAAGGCAGCACAACGCCTAGTCGTAGCAGGCAATATGTCGCTGCAAAGATTCGGGCACAGTTCAATTGGCCGAGACATGACCAGTATATCTGACTACATGATCCCCCAAACTTGCCTGGACGCAAACACAACCTCATTTACGGGACACGACGACTGGAGATGGGATCGGGACCAGACTCAACACCTCAACATCTACACCGACGGCTCCAAGATGGAAAGAGGAGTAGGAGCGGGCATATACTGTACAGGCCCTTAGATAAGGCTTTCCTATAAGCTACCGGGCCAATGCAGCATATTCCAGGCGGAAGTCTACGCCTGGAACCCTCGAACCTGTTCGTGGACAGCCAGGCGGCGATAAGATCCATGCAGTCGTCAGCGGTCAGTTCCAGAAACGTCCTGGCGAGCAGGGAAGCATTAGACTACCTAGGCACGACAATGTCAGTGCGGATCTATTGGGTTCCCAGCCACCAGGGCATCGAAGGTAACAAGACAGAGGATTTATTGGCTAAGGAAGGCGTCGGGTTGGGCATTGACAGAACCGAGAACGTGCCTGTCTCCCTTAGAACGCTACAAAGCGCTCTGGAGAAATGAGCGGACAAGAAGGGCAGAAGCCAGTGGAAGAGTACCACCACCTGCAGAATCTCGAGAACCATGTGCAAGGAGCGCAATGGTAAACTTAGCCACTACTTACTGCACCTTCCACGGAAGGACTGCAGAATGCTAGTGGGAATACTCACAGGACACTGTCTAACTGCAGCACACGCAGTTAAACTAGGCATCACCAACAGTGGTAACTGCAGGAAATGCGATGAAGAAGGGGCTATCGAAACCCTGGAACACCTCATATGCAGCTAACCGGCGCTATCAAGGGCAAGAAGAAAATACCTGGGTACCCCGGTGATGGCATCACTGGAAGAGGCCTCTATAAGGACACCAGGGAAACTTCTTGCCTTCGCGAAAAACACCTCGATCCTCAAGGACTTTGACACCTCACAACAATGAAGAAGGTGCATACACTCCCCATCCGGACAACTAAGGGCCATATCGGCCTATGCGTGGCCCCATGAGGGCCGTCCGGGTCAACCTAACCTAACCTAATATCATTAATACTACATAACAATACAGCAAACAAGAGAACAGCTGGTGGCAGGTTGAAGTGGTCTGCCGAGATGGAGAACCTGCTTATAGATGTCTGGCAGGAGAAGATCGACGATATTCGTGGACCACGGAAGAATTCCCACATATATATTGCCCATTCCATGAAGGAGGCTGGGCTCGACATGGAGTGGCCAGAAGATCGAAGCAAGATCGAAAATCTGACGAAAAAATACAAGTATGTAAATATTTATTTATATTGAAAACAAAAAATGGTCAAGAGTACTAATTTTCATACTTTGCAGGACGGAAAAAAATATAATTGGACCAAGCGGGGGTGCTCCATCGGGATGGCAGCTAAACTCGTTCCTTGGATCATTTCGTATAAACAATGTTGACCAAAATACATTAGACAACCACAGTAAGTTAAATAAATTGTGTGTTCTTCCAAAAATATATTAATAAAGACGTTGATTTGCAGACATCGACGAATACTTTTTGGAGTCTGTCGAGGTGGACCCTAACGGCTCAAACTGCGCCAGTGCGCCCCCGACCAAGCGCGCAAAACAGGACGCCCAGACAGAGCTTCTGAGCATTGCACGGGAAAGGCTGGACATACAAAAAGCCCAGCAAAAAACAAACGACACACGGACAGAAATACTCCAGCAAATGGCGAGCAGCAACGATACATTTCAAAGTGAACTGCTGCAATTTCTTCGAGAGTCCAAGGCCAACAATAATTAATTCCTAATATATTTATTGCTACTTATAATGAAAATTTACATAAGAAACAAAAATATAAACATGTAGTTTTAAAAATTTGATTAATTGTTTCGACTTAAGCAATTTGTTGCAATGGCTGATCTTACTCGCTCTGCAGACTGATTAAAATCCGCAGAACTGTTACTTGTATCTGGTTGTTCCTGTAGCTCATTTGTATTCGTAGACCAATTGTCATTAATTGAACTGTTGTGCACATTCAAAATGGTGCTATTATTTTTGGTGTGGCTATCCAAACCTTTGCCAATGAATCGAAATCTGGCCTTCAAGTGGCCAAACGCGTTTTCTACTACTCTCCTAGCTTTGGACAGGTTATAATTAAACGTGCGCTGTTCCTCAGAAGCAGCTAAGGAAAATGGGTATGGCTTCATTAGTTTTTTAGAGAACCCCGATCAACATTACTGGAACCTGCACTCCGCAAATTTCCTTCGATTTTTCATCGAGCAATGCGCAAGCTTCGACCCGTTGTGCAAGGCTCGACTTAGTAGTAGAGTCGTTGCATCTTCCCACAGAGCCGATGTTCACATAAGTTAATCTATATCTGAAGTAAGTTGAAATGAAATACATTTAGAAGACTATAATCCACTTAATAAATACATCTTTATACTTACCTATAATCCACAAGGGCAAATAACACCGTTGAGTACCATCCCTTATAATTATGGTGGTCGACTGCCTCATCTGCTGGTGGCTTTATTTTAATATGACATCCATCTGGAATACATACACATTAAGTGTATATGAAAATGTTTGTAAATTTTTTTATTGATTTCTTACCAATGGCACCTAGGCACTGAGGAAAACCAATTTCTTCAAAGCCCTGGACACACTCATCAATTTTTTCTGATGTTAGTTGGGGGACAAATACTCGTCCGCAAACTGATTAATTAGAGCTCCGCAAAATTCATGAAGAATTTTGCACACCATGTTGGATGAAACTCCGAACAGCCTACCAACTACTCGGTATTCAGAAGAAGATCCCAATGTGTATAAGGCAATTGCAATACGTTTTTCCAACGGAATTGCATTACGCCAGTTGGTGTCTTTTTTCGGAAGAATTTCAAGCCGGCTGACCAATAAACAGAAAGTGGGCTTCTCCATTCTGAAGCTTTCTTTCAAGAACTGTTATCCAGAACATCCTTCTCCCAAAAAGTCCCATACCGCTTCTAAAACACATAAGATATACTTGTACATACAATTTAGGATTGGATTACAATTATTACTTACAACCATCCACACCCTTCTTGACATTTTTGTATTAAACAAATTCAGCATTGCAATGAACTCTTCCTCCTCGAATTCATCTATATTGCTTTGCTTTCTGTCCAACGCCACTAACAATTTTTGCAACAACATTTTCTGTTGTTGAACCACGGCTAAAACAATTGTCAAATAGTCTATATTAAATTATTATAAAGTCACAATCAAGAGCACAGCTGTCAGCTGTTTTCCATTGGATGGTGGATGGTGCCAGTGGGAATCGGAGCTTCACATTTGTCAAAAATTCCCACCGTTCCTCATAGATGTGCTGTGTGGGAAAAGGCTATTAGGGAAAAATTCGTCGGGTTTTCCGTCTTGGTGAGCTTCAATGGTGTACTTCTGCGCTTAGTGGCACTGACTTACGTTTGGTTTGGTGGTACATCTGTTCGCTAGCACTTTCGTTCGACACTCGTAGGTTTGGCACTGCGGCACTACTTGTTCGCGACCAGATTTTGCGGGGGCGCGGGTTTGTGCTTGACGGGTATTTGTCCTCACTAGCCTAGTCTCTTTCGGTGGCCGTGGGTCTTTACACCACAAAGCTCCGTGTTAAGGTGTTCTCAAAGTTTCCATAAATTCGCCTTAAAGTTACCAAAAGTCCCTGCTCGGGCGCCACATGTAAGTTACCTATTTCAGGCTGGGATATGCATCAGCCTGTCCAGGGTCCTCTACAAGAAATTTGTAGATCTGCTGGAACTTAAGGTTTCGGGGCTGGCCTGGAAGTGACCGAAAGAGCAGTAGACAAGGTGGAAAAATTTATGACGCGAAGTCTTCCGTTGCTTTGGTTATTATTAATGCCTTTATTCGTTTTACTTGTTTACAATTCGAGACTTGCTGGTCTTGCTAGTTGTGCTGTGGGTTGGTGTACTGCCTGGTGCAGTGTCTTGCTTTCGGGCTGATGGACTGCCTAGTGCAGTGTCTTGGGTTTGGGCTGATGGACTGCCTGCTTCTTTGGCCGAGCTTGGGCTTTTTAAGCAGGTGGCGATTGCACCTGTCTTTGACCCGGAAATAATTACTTATTGCTAACTTATGATTATTGGGTGACAATAATTGTTGGGCGTGGTAAGTGGGTCGAAGCTTGGTGCTTCGTTAACAATTGGCTAGTGGGTCAGAGGTGTTGAGGAAGTATTTTGCTGCGACTGCAGTTTGGGATTGGGTTTAGGATTGGTTTTTGTTAACTCCGCATCGCGGAAGGTGATAGCTGAATTTGGGTCGATAATTTGAGGCCAAGTGGTTGCGAAATATCGCAAAGAAGTGGGTGACTGAGATTTTAGTGCTGTCTTCGCTGATTGCGAAATAATGCAAGAGGTGGGTTGTTTAAAATTGATGTGTGGACAAGAATGGGTAGAGTTGTTGATCGAGAGTTCTTAATTTTAGTAATTGCGTGCGTTGCTTAAGACTATTTTATTTCCCGGAGGTGCTGACACACCGCTATTTGTGGCTAGAGCCATGGTTCGTTGGCTCTGTGTATATTTGATTGTTAATTCGTCCCGACCGGCGTGGATGCGTATTGTAATGTAGTAAAAATTTCCGTACTGATCCCAAAAAATTCTTTTCGTTCGTCAACTCAAAACGTAAGTCTAACGCGTTTCCCGCTTCTCTTCATTAGCTGCATAAAACAGAAACGTCAGCTCAAGGTATTGCAAATTTATTCGCCGCCTTCGTTTAATTGACGTATACATCTCACACCTACTACTAATCCACCCCTTATCCCTACCATCTTCCTTATATTAACAACGTAGCTCTTCCCTTATTTGAAAAAGGCGCAGTTTTTGAAGGATTGTCATCGATTGACATCTGTTTCTCTGCAGGATCTGATAAAGTTCCGATCTGCATTTAAAGTATTGCGCTCGAGCCCTATGACAACCTTTGACCTTCCTGTTTAATTTGTCTCTTGAACGTTCTTGCCTCCCCGTTATTTGGAACGAATCCTACCTTATTCCTTTTCACAAAAAAGGGTCTAGATCTAACGTTAAAAACTTCTGCGGTATTGCTAAACTTTCTGCTATTCCAAAGCTGCTAGATCACCTTGTTACTCGTTAATTGCAACACGCAACATGGTTTTTTTAGTCATCGATCAACATCGCCTAACCTTATAGAGTTCTCGTCTCTAATCAACCGAGGCTTTCAAAGCTTTGTTGCAAACTGACGTAATTTTTACAGATTTCAGCAAAGCTTTTGATTCTTTTAATCATACTTTGCTGATCCATAAACTCTCTCTGTTAGGTTTTCCTCCAAATCTCGCACACAGCGTGTTGTGTTCTCTAATGTTTTGTCAAATGTCGTGCATGTAACCTCAGGTGTTCCTCAAGGAAGTCATTTAGGTCCGTTGCTGTTCAATCTGTTTGTGAATGACTTACCTCAAGTTATTGGTACTCGCACACTCGCCTTCAACTTGACCTCGATGAATTAAATAACCTCCTGTTTTTGAACCTCTTTAAGTGCAAACTTATGACGTTTCACCGCCGTGCTCCACATTTGGTTTCCTACTCTCTAGGACAACAAGCTCTGGATCGAATTTCCACATCAAATTACCTAGGAGTCATGTTTGAACATAAGCTATGCTTTAACCCCCATTTTTTTTTAACGGTGAACCAAGCTAAGGGAGTTTTAGCGTTCATTAAGCGTTGGTCAAAGGAGTTTGACGACCCGTATATAACAAAATCACTGTACGTCTCATTGGTACGCCCGATATTGGAGTACTGTTTTTGTGTATGGAGCTCCAATACAAAAAGCAACAAATTCAAATGGAATCTGTTCAAAAACAATTTTTAATTTTTGCCCTTAGGAATCTGAACTGGGACTCTAGCTAAAACTACTCGTCCTACCCTCCTTACACCTCGCAGAATTTGCAATGGCGTCTTCTAGACCAACCCGAACTTTCCTGCCTATCCGTTTACCCTTCTGCAGATCTAACTTCGCGCAGCACGAACCTTTCCGTGTTCTTTGCAATAATTACAATTCCTTTTACAATACAATATCTCCCGAACTATCCCTTGATACGATTGTACGTAACGCTTACCATCACCTTAACCTAGAAAATTTGCAAAACCTTTCTTTTCTTCATATAATATATATTGCTGAGGTCAAGGCAATCTCCGAGAAGGTACTGATTGAGGTCAGGGACATATAGGAGTGGACAACGCCATAAGAAGTGCTCGAAGCCATCTTCGCTAAGATAGACGGAGACTTGCCGACCAAGTCAGTCCGTTGGAACGCTGACGGCGAACATCCTTCTACCCAGAAAAACAGCGGACAAGCTGCTTCTCGAGGGCAAAGTATCCGAGTATCTGGTGAGCCTAGTAGCTAGCTACTTTAAAAACAGAGTGCTGCTCTATGACACCGCGACAGGACAAAAACCACCACAAGTTACAGGGTTCTGCAGGGTTCTGTTCTCGGCACGCTACTGCGACTGAACACACCAGCCGACTGCAGTATCGTTGGCTTCGCAGGCGACATAGCGGTGGTAGCGGTAGACAAAACCCTGGCAGATGTGGAGGAGATCACAAATGTCACAATCAGGCGGGTGATGCGATGCGATGGCTCTAGAAGCTCTAGAAAGAAAGGTGAGGCAGTCAGAGTGATTATCGGCTCGGACGAAATCATGTTGTCTCCTGGACCACAGGCTAAGCTTCAAACAGCACCTGGAAACCACAGGCGACAAAGCCGGAAGGGCAGCAAGTGCCCTGTCTGGCATCATGGCCAACGTCGGCGTTCCCAGACAGCGTAACAGACGGCTCATCTGCTCTGTCGGCAGAGCCCTCATCATGTACGCTGCCGCACCTGCAAGGCGGCCTACCGCAGATCCGCACTGAGAGTCTTCAGTGCGTACCGGACCGTTTTTGAAGATGCAGCCCTAGTATTGGCTGGCATGGCACCAATTGACCTGCTCGCCGCTGGAACTAATATCGAGGACCAGACCATCCGCGAGGCGGAAACACACCGTAGGTGGCAAGAGCGATGGCGCGACTCACCCAACGGCATATTGACTACACGCCTAGTCCTGGACATAGGGCCCTGGGTAAGTAGAACTTTTGGAGAGCCTAACTTTTACCTCACGCAACTTTTAACAGGACATGGGTGCTTTAAATTCTACCTACAAAGATTTAAATGCGAGCCGGATCAGTTTTTGCACACACTGTGCACGGACCATAGAAGACCCTGAACATATATTTTTTGTCTGTCCAAGATGCTCTGGTGATCGGGAAGAGCTAAGACTAGCCATTGGGAGGCCATTGACAGTCATTGACTTTTATGGATATGGATATACTACTTACCTCGCAAAACAATTGGGATGCCGTGAGCACCTACACTGCAGATATCATCCAATCCTTGCGTCGCGCTGAAAGACAGCGCAACCGAAATTCAAATCCTAGATAGGATCTAGTGACTTTCATGCCATTTCCCCCTCGTGAAGTAATACCGGTCGTACCGCGAGAGGGATACGGAGAGTAGGGGCGTTTTTAGTGGGGGAGGTAACTCCAAGTCCCACACTTAAATGGTTTTCCCCCCTATAAATACAAATAAAAAGTCTCTCAAAGGGTTTGAGAAACAAAGAAGATAGACTGATTGATCTGAAATCTTTTGAGGTTGAGTGTAAGGCTTTCCCTGCTTTGAGGATGAAAACTATTTTAGCCTCAAGCCAAGTGCTTGGTATTTTTCCCACTATCATATCTTCCTGAAGATACACTGCACTTCGGCTTCAGCTGGTGACCGAGGTGTACAAGTTGGACGCAGCGGCCGGGGCACGTCCTGTCGAGAACCCAGTCGAGCAGGACGTTGAGGCACCTGACGTCGAGGTGGGGCCCGAAAAAGACGGCTACATATCGGACTTGACGCTGATGCGGGATTTCGAGGCTATGTATCGAGAGGACGAGGCTATCGTCGATGACTCCGACGTGG